GCAGCCCCGCTCTCCTTCCTAGCGCCGGGCTGGTTTTTAAGGTGGAATGCCAAAAATCATCCTGCAGACGGGGCCAGCTCTTTCCTTCGAGGATTGGGCTCTCAGCTTAGAGCGTTTGCCCTTCCCTCTCCCCCGCCTGCAGTTATCGCAAAGGTACGTTTTAAAGTTATTCAGGATTTTGTAGGGGAAGTACGGAAAGATGCTCCTGCCAAAACCCGAGGCTTGATCTCGGCAGGAGGGCCTCGCTTCCCAAGGCAAGTAGTACCAGGGTGAGCCTGGTTTGCCCATGCAACGAGACATACACAAAGAGTTAAACAAAATTCTGTACAGTCGCGGTACAAAATTTTTCTGGATCAGATGCACAACCGCAGAGCTGCAATTGCATATACATATGCTGAAAAAATAGGACACTCTGTATTTCAAATTCAGCTTATTTGCACTTCTTTATTCTGAAATTATACAAAGATCAGAAAAAAGATTTCTTTACTGCAGCATGGGTTATGGTTTACGACTGGAAAGAAATCAAGATTTAATCTTTTGTGTTCGCTGCACAAAGGCAAGTCCAGTCAAACGCCTCCTGGACACAAAGACCGCCCTTTAGGGCCAGACCCTGGTTTTAAGGCAAGATTCTCAAGTCTTAAGATTTACTGGACATAAGTTTCCCGCTTCTCATTCCTCTTTGCACAGAGCACCTCCACATTATCTCCGTGGACAGCCCCAATACTACAGGCAAAGTCACTTCTCTGCATGGACACACAGCACGTACAGGTACGCAAATAGGGTGTATGCTCAAAGGTCACAAAATAATTAAATTTTCTTATTAAACACAAAATGAATGACACTTCTGTAGAAGCTACAAATTAGGACAGGACTTTTTCACATCTGAAACTTTCAAACTATGCAAAGCAACTACATCATCCTTAAAGGATGCTCTTAGTACTAGCACCTGTACAAACGCTGGCAGCAGACCTGAATTTTGATGATCACTTTAAAGAACTACTTTTTAAATGCTGTTTCTTCTCTAATGGTTACCATACTTGGAAATTCAGATTATAAAATTCAGGAAAATCGGAACCCAAAACATTCACAGCGGTATCTTACGCACGCTGCAGAAAGGTAACCCTCTTCCTTTTACCGGATGCCTCTCAGCAAAATGCCATCAAAGCCTAGACACTTGTAATGCCAAGTTCAGCTGGACCACTACTACATACTTAAAATAGCAAAAGATGACTTTATCAGATCTAACCAGAATCAGCTAAGAGCTTTCTTTCTCAGTACATACTGTTTACTTCATTCTCTGTCAGATGGATCAACGCCTTTAACGTCAATGATTATAAGCAGAAACAAAGGCAATAATAATACGCCCAGAATATTTTCATTAACTTACCTATATGGCGTGGTCTGGTTGGGAAAGCATTTATCAATTAGCTCCTACCTATCCATCCACCTACAAAAACGACTCTTCTACACCCGCATGCACTGCTGCAACACCATGCTCTGATTTGTGACACCATGCTCTGATTTCATAAGACACGATCCATTGCTGAGTTGCAAAAAGCTTACTTTTAAGATATGTTCAGAATCTAATGAGGAGCAGCACATACACATGTGTAATAGATACTTAAAATACATGAATGAATACATACACATTTAAAATAGATCTTTCCACCCATGTCCACATACAAATGCTTGTGAAGCCTGTTTTAAGAACCTAACACTTTCAATCCCTGACAATGGGGTAAAATATAGTCTCACTAATAACCAGTGTCTAGAAAGAGCATATATGAAGGCAAATTCTCCACCCATCAAAAGCATAGAACATGGCACAAAACACATTTGGACCACTATGAAGAAGTACAAAAGCAAGCACATGAATCAGTTAATACTCAAACAGCTCATTTACGCACTCAAATGGGGCATAGAGCTATGACTGAATTAATTATAGGGCCATAAAACAAAACACTACCTAGAGAGAAAGCACAAGCATCATTGCTCCTGGTTCCCAGTGTTTTCTGAAAGTGATACGATGACTTAGTACGTCACAAGAAATTAACGTTAAAGACGACTTACTGCTATTTTTTGGAGAGTCATTTTGACCGATGTCCATGTGTCCAATCTTCTATCCAGGATGAGGATAAATTTGGTGTCAGACTCATGTTGACTATGAGATAAGAAAGTACCAAGTAATCAGATAACATTTTGAGGGAATATGACTTTGTTCCCCCAAAAAACCCCAAACCGAAGCACACAGAACGCAAACTACATTTTGACATTTCCACAATTGCTGAAATTCCCTTTGAAAAAAATTTCCCTGAGCAGACTCCCGCAAGAAATTTGGGAAGCCCCCCTTACGGTTAGCCCAGGGTTCTGCATCACCTTTGGAACGGGCATTGCGTGGGAGGTGGACACGCATCGGTCTTGAGAAGGACTTTGCAGAGGTCGGAGGGAGCTGCGCTCCTGCTGAGCAGCTCAGGGATGCCCAGCAGCCTCCACCAGCCCCTGCCCCAAGATGCACATCCCTGTCCTCACCGCTGAGCTCTTCCCTCCAAGGGAGCTTGCTACCTCCTTGCCTGGTTTACAGCAACCAAGCGATGACACCTGGCTCGTTTTGGCACAGGGCAACAGAGGTGACACCAAGCCAGGGATGGGTCATGCCAGCTTGGCAGGGGGAGAGGGGAAGCTGGGGCTGAAATAGGCTTCCCCGGCACCTCCCGAGGCCCCGCTGGAGAAGCAGCGATTGCTAGGAGGCAATTTCCAGCACGCTCTGGTTCACTTTGCAAGCGCAGGCTTCCTGACATCCCTTTTGACACCCAAATCCTTTAAGTTGCTTTGAAAATCCCAGTCTCGCCAAGCGAGCGAGCAGTACCTGGGATGCCCCGTCTGGCAGGTGACCTAATGCGCAGGTGAGCTCCTGTCTGTAATTCAAATACTGCCTTCCCAGGCTAGCTGGGTACAGCTCAACCAGGCTCAACCTGTGACAACACACACTCCAGGGCAGTCTGAATTACAAACTGGAATCATGTTTGCATACAGGTAAGGGTACACCAGCTTGTAACCAAGTCCTGTGACGTGAGTGTATTTACAGGATACTTAGGTAATATTTACAATATTTATTTTGCAGATCCTGAAACAGGAGAGCCATGTCCCACGCCACCCTATCCGGGCGTCTCAGTGCTGCGGAGAGGCTCCCAGTACACGTGCTGGCCCCCGAGAGCTGGGTCAGGTATCTGTACTGGGCATGGCCCCACGCAGGCAGCCGACCGCAAGCACCGTCTTCAGTAATTCTTGTGTTTGGCAAGCGAAAACACATGGTGGATAACTCAGAAGTACCACGTGGCAGACAATGCTTGGCAACTTCACTACAGAAAAAAAAGACACTTGAAGCCAGTGCAGGAGCTTTCATTCAATGCACATCTTGCTGCTCTGGTTTGCGATAGCCACACCTTTGACAAATATATTTAAAAGGAATTAACAGCTGTGCTGAAAGAAAAAAAAATCCTTTTGGCTCATAATAACAATTGACTCTCAAGCTGTCCTACAACTCTATCTTATGGACCTCTAATGTCACACTCAAAGTGCAAAGGCTTAGTGCATATTTACACATTGCCATTGAGGAGTACCCGGAAACAGCAGGGAAAACGAATAGCAGATTTTACACGTAGGTCGTACACAGAACTTCTGCATGTAATAAAGTCTGAGGTTACAGACTGTGATCTGGATCAGGCACGACTTTTCAGCCAAAACCAAATAGTCTGGGCAACATAAGACGATTCTGCAAGTTTCTGTCAGCTCTGTCCACCCCCACCATGAGTTAAACGACCCACGTGGGTGGGAGGGGGGCAAAATGATCCTTTTCTTTGAGGTAAAAATAAAACCCTTTGGTTTTTCAGCACACCCTAAAACTTTACAAGGTAGGTCTCTGTCCTATGAAAAACAATTCTCCAGCTCCCCACGGTTTTTCCCAACAGGCTGCAATTGAAAAAAAAAAAAAAAATACAATGTTTACACAGCACTGCTGTCATCGTAATAAAACCTGAAGAAAAACCCCAGAATCTAAGTAATTTAGAAAAGGCAGGCAGACTGTAGTGCATTGTCAGTTAATAAAAGTATGCCAAAGTATGCCATGTACTCAGGACAAGGTTATATTCAGAGAGTAGCCTCTCAGCATGTTAATTTACTTTTATCAGTTCCCCTACAGACACAAAGAGGAAAGTTCCCAGCTGTCCAAAAGCCTTGAAACCTACTGTGGGAAATTTTTAATTTAATCTGGGGCTAGTGGAGCAAGTCTGTGACTACGTGCAACCCAGGCCTTGCAGGTTTATCAGATTTCCCATCCTGCAATGTACCTTTTAGACTGACAATAAAAATAAATCGATGCTTTCTCACCGAGGCTGCAAGGGGTGAGTTCATTTGCATCCAGCAGCAGAAAGATGGAGGCAGATAACCAGAATGAGGATTATTTCTCTCCGGGTGCTTCTTGTCACTTTTTTTCCTTACCCTTAATTTTGTACGTGTTGCAGGATGCACCAGACTAAAAATAAAGACTTGGGATGTTTTGCAGGAGGACTTGAAATTGGATCCTGGAGTCTGCAGTTGCGAGATTTATCACAGGACTGAGAGACTCCTTGTGGCTGGTGGGATCAGAGCAGGACCTGCTGCCTAATGGTTAAATTTGGAGGTATTTATAGCCAACAGCACCCTTCGCTGTTTCATTACTCTGTGTCATCAGCCATGGCTCTAAACCACTTTGTACTTCACTCCCCGACGTAAGGGAAACATGCAGAGCTTGTCTGAACACCAAAAAGCTGGATAGTCAACCAAGATCACTCGTAGGGTCTCCTTTCTGCAAATACTGGGATCTGTCGCGCTTACCTGTGCCTCTCCTTCAAGCACACCATGGCACAGTGCTGTTCGGCAAAGCCAGCCTGAAGGCAGGCAGGCAGGCAGGCAGGCAGGCAGGCAGCCCCTCTGCAGGCAGCCCCTGTGCAGGCAGCCCCCCGCGTGCAATTTGACTTGGGTGCGCGGGGCGCCGCTCTGCAGGCAGCCCCTGTGCAGTCAGCCCCCCGCGTGCAATTTGACTTGGGTGCGCGGGGCGGGAAAGGTGGGGACCTGCGACTTATTTTCCTGGACAGTTCTTGCATACAAGCACTTTCTGCAGCTGCCTCCTGCCCACAGCATGGTTCCCAGGAATCCTGAAGTAAAATTAACCTGCCTATAAGACTCATCTTCCTCCTGGCTCTGTTATTAATGCACGCACCTTGCGGAGCAAAGAGTGGCTTACAACATCCATTTCCTTTATCTAACAATTATTTCCAGGAGAAAAATGCTTCATGAAATTCAGCTTCCTGAAATACTACGGACCTGACATCCCATGAGGTTTCCTCAGACTGGTATGGGGAGGACGACATGTAGCCCTTGCTGCTGATTGCACAGGAAAGGCACTGTGCACGTGGTTTTGGTACGCCCATACCCATCGATAGGTATGTGGCGGGGAGGTGTCGGTGCATCCACAGCTAACTGACACACAGGTCAAATATTTACCTCTTCTAGGGATTTTCTAACCCAAAGCCTGAGCCCTGATGCCATGCTGCGATGCCACTGAGGGTACCACACACCTCACAGCCCTTCCACCCTCAATTCCATGATGCTTTTCCTTGCTCCCTGACACCACAGCTTTTTTGACTCCAAAATGTTAAAAAGCACGTGTTTTTAAGACGGTCAGGTATTGATGCAGGCTGTTATGGTGGTAGGAGGAGCAGAGAAGCATGATTAAAGTGGTTTTACTAATAACATGCTGAACATCTTTGAATCACCAGCAAGCTTGCAGCTCTCATTAGTTCCTTGATTGAGTTTGACCTCCTACAGGGACAGCAAGACTGCTCATCATGCTAATGCCAGGGTGTTCACAGTCATATGAAATAAGAAGCCCTGGAGAAACCGGGCGGAGCTGGGAAGCACGGCTGCACGGATACAGGCAGCCCACACAGCACGGAGAAACCCCTCGGGCCAGCGCACACCGTGGCGTGCTCCTGTCCACGCCGGGACGGTGCTCTGTGGGCCAGGAGCCCGCGAAACTTCAGAGTCCATCCAAAAACAGGACAGAGGAACCAGAGGCCCTTTTTTTTCCTGCAGAGATGGCTAAACACATGGTACTTCTTCCAAGGCAGCTGCTGATGGAAAGCTCCCATCTAGCTGCTCTAGAAAGAAAGGAAGAAATTTGCCAAAACAGGCATTATTCAAGGAAATTAAGCATTCCAGGTAACTGAGTCACCAGGCTCAGCAGCAAGAAATAGGAGGACCATTAATCTAAGTATACAGCCCTGCATGTGGCACAGGCAGACTGTCAGCCGCTTAACCCTGAGACACAGGCGGGTAATGGGAGCTGCGGCACGCTGCTGAGCCATCGCGTGTAATGGGGACCCCAAATGGCTTGTTCCTGTAATTAGTCTCTTCCTCCAGTTACGTTTCTCTTTTTTCCACAGTAATGACTCTCTATTTGTACACGTCAAAATATTATTCTGCAGTGGCATGGCATATTTAAGCGGTGACACATGTCAAAGCTTAAGGAAAGCTTGCTGTTAATTAGAAACTTAATAAACTAAATTTATGACACATGCAGGCTGACAAGTCATAGGGATGATGTCCACTTTTTACTCGGCAATTACTGGCACATTAAATACCACACCTGGGCACCATAAGGGCTTGCACCGTTCATCTTCTCCCTCTTACTTGCTCTGAGAGCTGAAGATGCCCCTCACCCCCACGTGTGGCATTACCCTGAAGATCCCCTGTCTGACCCAGGCAGGACCGACACCTCTGCCCATCACAGGCAAGAGCTAGAAGGGAGCCACATACCTCGGGACTGACGTTAGGTAGGTTAAGACTTTAGACAGGATCTCCTCGGGCACCTCGTTGAAGCGAGCGTTGTCGGGGAGGGTGATAATCCAAGCCTTGTCTTTCCCTCGGCCACCTGCAATAAAGACAAGGATGCTTCCCTGGGCCTGCTTTCGAGGAGGGCCAGCAGCAAAGCCCAGGTCCACCAGTCAGGACAGAAAACACGCTGTCATCATTACAGAGGGTTTTTTTACATCACCAGAATAGCAAAACCAAACCAAATCCTGCCTCTAATTTCAAGCACAACACACACGCACAAGCAGTAGAAACAAACGTACTAGGTACCAGGTATTTCCTTTATTTACTGAGCGTACTGTACATGGGACAGCAAAAGAAGTCAGAAATACAAGGACAAATCAGCACACTGGTCTGGCACCTACAGAAATACACTTCAAAGCAAAACGCTTGTTAACGTGTTGCATGTTTGAAGGTAAGAATATTTTATAATACAGCTTGAGACAGAAACCTAATATGCTCTTTCAAACTGCCCCAATGTTTTATTAACAATATTTCTAGTGGCACTGGAGACTACCTGATGGATAATATCCCGTGTGGAGTATCATTTTGCCAAACAGCGCAGAAGTTTGTCTGGAGCATTTAATTACCGCAGAGAGAGAGACCCTGGAGAAGTTCACCATACTCACCAGAAAGAAAAGCAAACTCTTTCATCAAATCATCACTGATGTCCTTTGCACAGATGGGTATCGCGGTTTCTGGAAAAAAGCAAAAGCAGCAATCAAAGAGGAAGCACAAATCCAAAGCAAACACATTTATCAATGTGTTAACCCAAAGGTGGGACTTGAACCCAGTGCAGCTTCCCTGAATTATATATGAAATATTGTAACAAAGGACATATAGTTCTCCTAGAAACCAATGTTTCTAATGACTCTAACAGGGCAAATGCCATAATTCAGTAGCAAATGTATTCTGTCAAATGTACTGAGGCAGAACTGCCTGGGAGCTCGAGTGCTCTTCCCTCAACAGGGTATATCCAATGTTAATATCTATATTTTGGAGTTACTAAATTGATACCCCTATTTTGCAAACTCCCCCGGTGCCTCCTAGCCTTGGCAATACAACGGGCTGAGGTTTCTGCTGGGAACGGCAGCGTCTAAGGCTGCCGCACTGGGAACAAGGTTGGGTTTTCAGACTGTTATAGTCTTTAATTTTGAGCCAGTAAGCTTCTGAAATCATGTTTTTGTCTGGCACGAGGCCACGTGCACTGGAAAAGCTGTTGTTCTTACGTCCAGTTATTAGATTGCTTTTTAATTAAATAATGGGAGAGGCTGTTTTAATACCATATTTAGCACACTGACCATTTCGGTGGCAATGAAGCACATCGGAACAATATACATGATTTTACCTTTCACTGGGAGAAGGAAACAAAAACCAGACTCAATAAACACAAGAGGAGCTTATAGCTGGTAGACATTTTTCTGGATTATCTATAAACGGAATGACAGCTAAATATTAAACAGCCTTGTTCCTGCAAATAAATGTTTTAAAGCACATCTATACAGATTAAAGTCCTTGTGCCTTCTGATAATTAAATTTTAAACACTGATTATTTTACAGAGTTGGTCCTAGGGAGTAATCTTTTGGCTGTTTTCAATCACACGGGCCGCATACTTCAGCACACTCCAGCGTAATCAATATTTATCCTATCGTGCTTTTTCCAAAAGCTTTCTGGGTCACTTCTACTTTACCTAAGGATTTTTCAGGCCTTCCATCGGCCGTATGGAGCTGCAGCACAGCCGCCCAGAGGTGCCCGAGGTGGGGGTGCTCTGCCTCCTGCAGTCCCCACCGGCCACGGGCTGCTCCCTGCTCTCCTACACACGCGCTGCTATTTTTTTCCTCTTGTAGATAAAAATGTCATTTTTGTTTGTTAAGGATCGAGCTTCAGTCCCACTGGCATCTACATTCTTGATTTTAACAGGCCCCAGAATTGGTCTTGGTAAGAAAGAAGTTTGTTTTGCAAAGATATTTCAAATATTTCTCTCTCATTCAACTGCTTCACCTAACTTGAGGACAAGCAGTGGCAATAGATTTCTTCTCTATTAGTTGATTTTTTTCCCACGTCAATAGTTTCATACTGATAAAAATCACATTTAATAACTTAATAAGCTCCAACACATGAAGCAGATGATATTAAACATGCGGGTCTTTGAAAATACAAGACAAAAGCCCGCTGTGCACACATATTTGCCTCAGAAAGGTGTGGGGCTGTTCAGCAGCTTGTCTGCATTTGCAGTCGGGGTGAAGCCTGTCCCCAAAGCCAGCTCGCCTCGCCTACCCCTGCCGACCACTTTCCCCGAAGATGCAGCCACTGGCAAGCCAGGCAAAGTTTTCCCCTGCGCTATAACGTCCACGCGTGATTCAAGTGCTGGATGGTAAACACAAACGCAGTTACAGGTTTACAGTAAACGCAGCTTTTGTTTCTGGTCCTCCAGTGATATGGGAGGGAAATGCTGGTTTATTGATAGCTGTCCAGGAAACAGGCTGGGAAAAGGGGGTTAACCTTTGCACGGTAAAAAAAAAAAAAAACAAAACCAAAACAAAACACTTAAAAAGTTTCACAAGGCATTTTCTCACTGAGAACAACTTACTTAAACTAAGCCAGAGACAACCATAGTTGGAAAAAAAAAAGTAGCATTTTTCCACAGATATTTTCAAACTTTGCTTTCCAGAAAAGAAATACCATTTGAAAAATGCATCCTTTGACCCCAGAATCTGGTGGTGATTAAAACATCAGCGGATGTTTTAATCCTACCCGTGCTGGGGGGCTGCAGCAGGACCCGCTGTGCCGTGCCCTCTGCAAACACGGGCGCAGGCGACCCCGGCCCCGCACAGCCCGCCAGCTAAGCAAGCACCATCAGGGCCATGCCAGCAGGTGGACCTGGCATTTTGGGGTTTCAGGTGCAAAGCACCATAGGATGGGGGTTCTCACCACAGTCGGGAACAACCCGAGGAGGGACCCGCTTTGGGAGTCACCGTTTCCAGCAAGGACCTTGCTCCCCAACATTTTATTCCACAGAAAGTTTCATCCTTGACTTCGGCACAGAGGTGGAGACCCAGATTCCTACCATACCCTTATGAGTTTCTTGCTTCTCAAGGGATGACATTTTTGGAAGAGGGCACTCAGCACCCTCAGAAAATCAAGCCCTTCCTAGCAGTCCCAAGTTGAGCACTCAAAATAACTCATTTCAGGAAAAACTGCGTGGGAGTACTTTACTTCAGGCAGTGAAGGCTCGGGGATTATTTCCCTTACAAACCCTCCCCATCTCCTCCAGGGTAGGAGAATCCAACAAGCGATGGAGGAGCAGGACGGCTGCCCTTTGGTAAGGTCAAGGCACAACAACAGGCTGATTGAGGTCCCATGAGAGCCGCTCCTTGGCCAACTCATTGCTTGCTCTGCATTGGCCATCGAACTCAACCTCCTGGGCAAATGTTAGGGAAAATCAAGTGCTGGCATCAAATTTGCAAGCGTGTTGCTGTGCCTGCGGCACATCAGTTGGATGTTACTATAAACCCTGTCCAGAAGTGCAACCTCTGTCCTCAATCTATGGAAAAAGAGCAGTGAAAGGCAGTGGGGCAGCAAAGACATCCGCCTCTCAAACAAGGCTTCGGTTGATGTTCACTAGCGAACTGAGTATTTCTTATTTGAAGGACACTCTTGGGACAGTAGAGAAAAGACCCCAGGGTACTGCCCAGCGCTGGCTATGAACAGTACAGCATCTTGCTCGGCACAAGGTGGAGGAAGCCAAGGTTTCAGGGAAGTCCACTTGTTTCTCTTAAAAAGAGGCTTTGTGATCATCAGCTACTATGGAATAGAGCTGCTGTTACAAAATCGAGCCTGAAACCCCTACGTTACAGCATCCCAGAGCACTTCACAAACTACACTGCTATCCCCACAGCTGGTATGACCTCAGGCTTTAGGGTCTTCCTAAAAACAAGCAGCATCTGGACGATAAATTGTCATAACAGTGTAGTAACATTTTTTCTATAGGCTCTAATCTGGGTATTTATAAAATGCTGCTGCAGTTATTACATTCAGAGACTCCTCTATGGAGGAGATCGTTGCCATGACACAGAGTATTGGAGGATGCGTGAAGCCAAGCGGGGAAAAGACAAAAGGGAAATACAGAGATCTCTATGCTTCCAAGAAAAACTAATGTGGCTCAGGACAGAACCCTGCTGAATCTTTCCTGTCCCCATCATTTGCTTTACACAGTCCAGACCATTTTGCTGGGTCCTCTCCACAGGACCACATCTCAAGGCCGCTGCACAGACTGCAGCTGTAAGGATGATGCTTATTGTCAGTGATCTTCCCTTTCAAGGCGATTCAAGCACAGTGGGACTTTCACGTACGGTGGAGGTCTGCAGTGACATTCAGAAGGGGGACAGCTACAGTCTGAGAACAAATTCCTCTCGTAAAACTCAATTGAACTCTGAAGTGCTTTGCTCTTTGGTAACTATTGTTTTCTTTTCTTTTCCAAACTTCGCAGGCCCGCAGCATCTGCAGGCAGCAGCTGTGTAATGCAACTGCCAGGCTGATGTAATAGAGCCTCGTACTTCACAACACTGACCAAATATTGTTTGCAACTATAAAATCCATTCGGAGATGGCTTTGTCGTGAATGAAGAATAGCAGCTTTTCATGTGAGGGTTGCTGCCGTAGTCTAGGAAACAAAACTGAAGTAAATCAAATGAAAAGGGTAAAGGATCACGCTGAGCTTCTCCGTAATCTGCTTGTTCTCAGCTGCTTGTCCATTTGGACATCTACATCCAATGAAGCGATGTCAAGGGAGCCTGCAAATCAGCACATTTGTAACCTATTTCCAGTCCCTCATTGACTTTCTGGGCTAACCGAGGTCATCAGCCAGCTTCTGTCTCAGGTTGCCCCACCACAGGAAGGCCCACCTGCCTCCAAAAGTTCCTCTGAGGCTAACGACACCCGTAATGCAGACCTACATAAACCGTAGGTGTTTGCAGGAAGGTCCGGTGCTCAGGGAGTTTCAACAAGCAGGATTTCTCCCAGCTGCCACGGACACTCCTGTCTGCGGCCCGCATCGGTGCGAGCCTCCCAGAACAGCTGATGGAGCACAAGTGAGGCTGGGCGTGAGGATTAAGCCATCCCCGTCTCATCTACTTTGCACAGGAGTGGGAACAGAAATCCCTTAGAGCAGAGTGCCCCAACCATGAACCCTGTGCAATGCAGAGAGCGGCCCTTTCAGCTTCTCCAGCTGAAGTTGCTCTGCTTTGCAAAATTAAATATTCATTGAGGTAAAGAATAGAAACACAGTCCTGTATCTGAGGAGAAAGACCAATGCACCACCCTGCAACTTATCCCCCTAACCCAGTCCAGATCGCTATACCCACTCAAAACACCCAAATGGAGGGACCCTGCAGCCCATCGCTTGGGTTAAGGGGAACAGTTTCACCTGAAATTTAAATCTCTGCAAAAGCCAAAGAGCTCCTCCAGGAAGAACGACAGAAATCCATCCCATAGCAGTGGTCAGGGCCACAGTTTGCTGCGGGAAACCCGAGTCCCCATCACCCCGGTGCGCATCCTGGCCGGTGAGCGGCTGAGCCTCACCCTGCCTTCTCACCGAGCGGTTTCAAAAGACTCTGGATTCAACCCAGTACACAAGAAGAAACATCGCCATTCCC